GGAGGTCTGCTAGGTCCCTGGAGAGCCAGGAGAGCTGCTGTGCCCTCTTGCTGCCTCATGTTGTACCGGGTTGGTGAAATGGCACTGCCCTGGCAGAATCATAGCACTGATTTGCCTTAGGAACCCCACCAATATAAAAGGATGGGGATAAGTGGTGGAGACTTGTGGATACAGCCTCCTTCTAGTTGCATTAAAGTGGGTACCATTCCACCACACCTCTATGTAGATATGATTCACAAACCATGTAATAACGTTGTTCTAACCTGTAGCATGCCCTTCCACTTGGTGGGCTTCACACCATCACTGGAGAGTGTTGTCGGCCATAGGAATGGGAGGGGGTAGATTCTTCCCTAAATGCAGTGGCTTGAGAGGCTGAACAGATGCAGAATGCAGAATTGGGGGCACAGACTCAGGGGCGTTGAGCTCAATGGGATTTCTCTTAGGAAGTATGTAACAACAAACCCATAAACGAGCAGAGCTACAACAATCACCTCCCCTCCCACAGTTAGCCACTCCAGCCTTCAGGTAGGGAATGTACCCAAGATAATAACTGGTGCCACAGGTGCACTGACAGTTACCACCTTGCCAGTCAACTATCCTGTTTCTTCTACTCAGAGACCAGGACTTCACTTGCTCTGGGTTGGTGGGTTTCTTCCAATACGAATACTGTGGCTGGACCATATGGAGGTCATCTGAGTGCATTTCCAGGGAATGCTCTTCAGGGTCAGGCCACTCCTTTAGATCTCCAGGAGGGACCTGAACAGATCATCTAGCCTGACCCCCTGCCACAGGCAGGGAATAACAGGTGATCGTCCAACCTCCTCTTGAATTTGCCCAAGGTAGGGGTGAGGACCACTTCCCTGGGAAGTTGGTTCCAGATTTGGGCCACCCTAACTGTAAAATATTGCCTTCTGATCTCCATCCTAAACCTATTCTCCATCAACTTATTACCATTGATCCTCATCATCCCAGGTGGTGCTGGGGAGAAAAGAGCTCTGCCTATTTGCTATTGATCCCCCCTGATGAGCTTGTAGGCAACCACTAGGTCTCCTCTCAGCCTCCTCTTGCTGAGGCTGAACAGGTTCAGGTCCTTCAGTCTGTCCTCATAGGGCCTGTCCTACTGCCCTCCCTCCAAGCGGGTTGCCGCCTCTGAACCCTCTCCAGGCTGGCCACATTCCTTTTGAAGTGCGGCGCCCAGTACTGGACGCAGTACTCCAACTGCAGCCTGACCAAAGAGCCATTAGGTAACGCAAAGCTTGCTTGGACCAGGTGTCCTGGTCATTTAGTGCCTTCAACTCCAATACTCGTTAAGGATTTCCTTTCTCCCCCTTCCAATCTGCAGAATCTAAAATGCAAATCTGGGCACCTGTGTCTAATAGCATATCAACTGACTTTTTACTTTTACCTAATTGAATCTGTACAGGTGTGATAGGCTAGCTGGCAGTGACTTAGCCCAGGGGGTTTGAAAGGGCAAAAGATGATTGGAGGACTTGGGATTCCTTTTCCTCACCAATCTGGTAATGATTTGGCCCAGGGGTTTTGAAGGGGTAAAAGATGTTTGGAGGACTTGGGATTCCCTTTACTCACCAATCAGGCCCCAGAGACTCTCCCTCCTTGTCCGCTGATTGGCCCCTTGGGTCACCTAGAGGGGGATAAAAGGGGAAGCATAGCTGACTCAGGAGAGACCAGAGAGGGACCACAAGGAAGAAGCTTCAAAGAGCTTGCAAGAGCTGGGCCAGTGGGGTGGGAGCAGTTACCCCAGAAACACCTGAAGGAGTGGGACCTGCAGGCAGCAGTTGGACCCTCACCAGCACAGTGTGTGGCTGGCAGGAGAGGCTTGGCTCCAGGATCCCCTCTGAGAGGCTGCGGCCAGCAGGAGAGGCTCCCAGCTCCAGCACGGATCTGAGCAGTGACCTGAGAGGTTACCAACTCTGCTTCCAGCTCCTCCAATAAGAGGCCAGGCAGCTTGATGTGAGGCCGGGGCTCTGGGAAAGTCAAGACCCCTAGCAATATCAAGTAGCACTGGTGGCTGTGTGGTAGCATTTCTGCTTCCTACATAGGAGATCTGAGTTCAAGTCCTGGCAGGAGTGATTGAAGTAATAGTGGAAAGGGGTCATTGTGTTTTCCCCCTCCAGGTACCTAGGCCCTATATTCCTTGTTATTTGACATTTTGTATTTTGTGCTTTTTGTATTTCCCTAACCAGTATTGTTTGCTCTGCTGTTGGTGTTTTATATTTTGTAACCCTGTCTTTTGTCAGTGATTGTCAGTGTCTAACCTTTGTTGAATCCTGCCCCTTGGGGTGTTGTAGTGTCCACTATACCCCCTGGTTTATGCCGGTTATGTTCCCAGTACTGTTCTCTTATTAAAAGGTATATGGTTAAGGTCCCAGTGGTGGTCTGGCTCTGCAGTATAGGGGAAGGAGAGTCCCTACACCTCCCACATCCCTTGTGCACCTGCTCTGATTCCTTCAACTGGAGAGGGGGTACCTCTTGGAATACCACCCGGGTTACACAGGTATCCAAATTAAGGGGCCAATATTAACTTTAGATACTGGTCCCCAGCCCACTACTGCCCTCATTGTGGCCCCTTTCTTTGGGGGTTGGGCCGGTCGGACTCCCTAGGCCATGTGATCAGTGGGGGTAAAAACTGATGGCCTTGCATGTGCCTGGGAAAATGCAGACAGTTCTGCCCTCAGGGCAGAGAATCCCTCCAGTGACTCTGTTGGTGGTGCAGACAGCTCCACTTTTGGGCTCACCTTTTCACTACGGTGTTTAGCCCACAGCCCTCACAAGACTGGTTGGAAATCCATCAATTTGCACCTTATTGAAACAGGCAGTTAACAAGTCTTTCCACATTTTTTCTTGCGGAGTCTTGGGCTGGCCTTCCCCAGCTTTTTCCAACAATTGGGGGGGGGGGGCAGGGGGGGTTCTTTTGCTGAGGCCACCGCCATGGCTTGGCGGTTTTCGTCAGCTTAGCAAGCACTGGCTTCTGCAAAATAGGTAAAAGCTGCACTAATCACTGGATCGCATCTCGTACTGGGTGATTCACTGCCTCTCGCTCCAAGGCCAACAGGGCTGAGGTGCACTCTGTTGGTGCTCGCTCTGTTGATGCCTTTCACCAAACCCTCCCCCACAATGGTGCTGTCATGCCTTCTGCATCTGGCGTGAGAGTCTAAACTGCTGCAGGAATTATTTCAGTTAGTCCTAATGATACAAGCAACAGACAGCCTCCTCTAAATTGGCCCATGCTTGAAGGGCAGGGTTAAGCTCTTCTTCCGTATTACCATAACTGGCCACGGTTGCTTGCATTGCAGAAGAAAACAAAGTAACAGTTTCATCACCTCCTGCAACCTGATTTAACTGGAGCTTGGGGCACAGGATGATTTGTGCTGCTTCAGCCCTACTCACTGAAATTGTGGATGCCCGTCACTATACATTTGAACAAGCTAGTTTATCACTGGCTCTCCCAGCTTGGATTTATGATGTTCTTGTATATCTCTAATCTCAGCACAGGTAAAGGAACGCAGCTCTGTTTGGGGATTCCCTCCTTGCAGCTCTGAATGGGTTACCACCACGGGGAAGACCTGGCTAAGTTCTTTCCTCTGGGCAGAGACATATGGGGGTGGTTCAGCACCAGGCTCATCATCAATCTCCTCCCCTTGATCTTTCCAGAGATCAGCTTCTGGTTTCTCCCCATACAGACACTGTCGCACCTTGTGGAAGGATGGCTCCACAGTCTTCGCTAACTGTGCCTTCTTCTGGAGGAAAGCGGCCAAGCACACAATCATAATTTTTCCTTCCCTCCATTCTAATGTCTCCAAGCGGCTCTGAGCGGCTCGCACAGCCTCGCACGCCATGCTGTTGGAATCTCTCACATCTTCTAACACCTTACTCAGCTGGGTGACCTTTTCCCAGAGCTGGGCTTTCTCTTCGGCCCCTAACCATCGCCCCCAGCCATGACGGGCACCCTTTCTTGGGTTTACCATGGGCAGCAACAGCAAACCTAGCCCAATGATTGGGTACAGTTCCTGGGTCACTCCAGGCAGGTCTCAACCTATCCTTATCCCACCCAGGATTATCCATCCCTGTCACTTCCTTAAGCAAAGCCACCAATGGGGCCCACCCAACTCCCTCCATTCCAACCTTTCTCTCCAGACCAAAGCCTCTCAATCCTGTTCATGATGCCAGTTTATTTCCCAACCACCTGCGTAGGGTTCAGGATTGAGAGTATGGTCAGGGGTAGAAAGGTAAGAAAGGTTTATTGACTTAACAAAAACACAACTATTCAGAGATAACAAAACAACAGACAGACAATAATAATTCACATCGGCAACTTATTGGGAGTCCCCTCTGATGCTTGATGTACAAGTTTCTCTTCTGGAAAGCTCAGCAAAGTCAGGCATCCCCTATCAGCACTGTCCAAGGAGTACCGGGAAGGACCCTGGTATTCAGTCCTTGGGATCCTCAAGATCCACAGGCCCGCTGATTCAGGTCAGCAGCTAATTATTCCCTTTCACAGAGCTGTATCTTCCTTCTAAATGATTTCTGGATGTTCCAGCCAATTTATAACTTCTGAGCTATGCTGATAACTTACAACCATCCAGATTCTCCCATTATAATTATTCTTAGGACTGACCAATAACAGTACAAGCCTTGCATTCTTTTGATAAGGTTAATTTTAACTACGCCACAGGGCCTACATCTACTACTACAAGACCTTGCTAAATTTACTAGGCCTCATTACTACATACAAGGCCTCACTACATCTTTAACTTTAATTAGGCTCTTAACAACAGCATATAACTTAATATCTGAATAAATGACAGAAAAACACTTGGTCTAATCTTTATAGAGCCTTCAACAAGAACTTTTATCACACAAACATCATTTTCAGCTGTCACACCATGCAAGTTTCATCTGAATTGGGCAAGAAATGTCAAAGTTATAAGTAGTTTCATGCTTCCCCATTATAGCCTATGGTCGAAACAGTGAAAGTGTTGAAACAGTGAAACAGTCACTCTTGCACATATTAAGAACCGAAAGCAGAGCCTGCAAGGTCCAAGAGGGATCAGGTGTCAGCTGTCACCACCTGGTCCTGGGGTCAAGTGCAGCTGTGGTCCTCACCCTCTGGTCATACGAGTTCTCATCTGAGAAGAGAGATGGAGTTAGGTACCATTCCCGGCCCAAGGTTTCCACCACCTGGATGCCTGGGACCTCTAGGAGAGGGGTAGGGGCTGAGGCATAAAAGGAGGGGAAGCTGGGAGCCAGGATGCCTGGGTTCTCAGGGCGCCCTTACCCATGGCCTTCCAGAGTGCAGTGGCCAGGGGCTTCTGGCCCATCTTGTCCAGCACCAGGGAGCCTGTAGCCAGCGCCTTATGAGCCTGCAAATGCTCAACCATGCTCCTGGCAACCTGCAGTGCAGTGAACGCAGACATGTCAGGCCAAGGGATGGGGCCGCTGGTCCCTGGCTCCCGGAAAGTCCTCCGCTTGCACTTGAACGTTTCCAGGTCCTGCGGGCTCAGCTTCCCCAGTGCATTTGCCAGAGTCTTCACTGTCCTGCAGGAAGCACAGGTATGAGCCCCCACACAATCTGGACCCCTCCTCTGTGCCCCTGACCTTTAACCACCCTGATTCCTGGGCCCCATGCTCCGTGCCCTTTGGCCCCATAACCCCTTCCCACCCCAGTCCTGCTCACCAGTCTTTTAACCTCATGGCTGCCTCCATCTGGCTCAGGTTTGGCTCCTGGTCTGGCCCAGACTGGTTAGGGAACTGGTCTTCATCCTGGCCTGCTACCCTGCTGTCCTGCCCTGAGGGGGCATGACCATAAGATGCTAGGCTCCATGTGGCAGGGGCTGTAAGCACAGAGGTCACATCCAGTCCAGCCCTCTTCTGTGCCAGTGTTGTATGGCACTGGTCCCTTCCCTCCATTGGGGCGTGGGGTAATGGGAACCAGAGGAATTGGGAGCTCAGGTGCCTGCATCCTCTGGGAGAATGGGGGGTGGCCCCTTACCTTTGGCATTCCAAAGGTCGCAGGCCAGTGAGTTTTTCATCTCATCCAGCACCAGGGAGCCCACAACCAGTGCCCTGTGCACCCCAAAGTTGTCAACCATCATGCGGGCAATGTCTCCCGCATTGGAGTTGGACAGGTCAGGCTGGCAGATGGGCGGTGTGGCCCCTGGCTCCGGGAAGTTGATCAGCTCAGCCTTGAACTCCTCCAGGTCCTGTGGGGCTAGCTTCTCCAGCACAAAGGTCAGCTTCTTCACTGCCCTGCAGGAGGCATAGGGATGAGGTCCCCACATATTAGTGTAGGCCCCCTGCTCCATGCCCCTTGACCTCTGCCCTCCCACACACCCCAGATCCCCTGATCTGTGACCTCTGTCCCTCCTCACACCCTGGACCCCTGCTCCATGCCTTCTTCCTCTGTGGCCCCTGCCCACCAGTCAGCCCTACTCACCACTCCCTGCTCATGGGTGCCATAGTCTGGCTCAGGTTCAGCTCCTGCCTCCTACTGGTAGCTGGTACTGCAATGTCTGGCCCAGATGCGGCAGAGAGTAGGCATTTATCCTGGCCCCATTCTAGGGGTGTAAATATCATTTAAATAATTATTCATTAACCTCCTCTAATTACATTGGCAAACTGATTAACCAATAACAGCAGATTGGACATGGCTGCTGGTGGAAGCTGCTCCCAGGGCCCTTTGGTGAGGAGGGGTGGGAGGGAGAGAAGCAGGTGAAGAAGCCATGGCAGTGGTAAGCTCAGTCAGACAACACAGCCCACACATGTGCAGACCCACATGTACTTACACATGTGCTCACACAGACCCCCCCCACACACATGCACACATGTATGTACAGATACACATACACACACACACACATGCACTGACACCCACACATTCACATATGTATGTGCACATACACACATACCCAGCTCTGTAGGAGGAGCTCGGAGCTGCTGGAGCCTGGCACCATGATGGACCCAGCTGCCCACAGGATCACAGCAGCCCTGGGGCAGCCTGGCCTCTGTGTCCAGCTTGATCTCACCTGCAGCCACCCCCACCAGCCACACAGACACAAAGCACATCTCTGTGAACCCACACCTGTGCAGATCTATCTGTAAACACCCCCCGCCCATATCTATGGAACTATCTATAAATCTACTATCTATAAATCACATATCTATAAGTCTACATGCACACATATCAGCACAGCTATAAACACACACACATGCACACTCCTGCCTTTATACATCCATTAAATCCACATGCACTTATCTTTAAATCCATACACACATGTGGTGAATATTTATAGACACATACAGATCTGTGTGCAGGGGGATTCGGAGATCTCTAGAAAGCCACCTATGGATACCTAACTAACTACACACATATTTATGTGTATGTATCAACTATATCTTTCCAAATATTCTATATTTATATAACATGTATAGGTATTACAAACATTTGTGCTTATATACATATTTTATATAAAAGTGTAAAAGTTATATGTACATACATCTACCAACATACACAAATACCAGTATATGGATACACACATGCTATACAAACACTCATATCAATAACTACACAGATACACACACACACGTCCATTATTTTTAGGGTCGGCAGTTAGTTTTGCATACACACATATCTATAAATACAGAGATACATATACACAGATAGGAAAGTGGCAGCAGGTGAGGGGAAGTTATAGCTAGGCAGGAGCATGGAGCCCAGGAATGGAGCTGGGGCTGGCAGGAGCATGAAGCCTGGTTCCATTGCACAGGGCTTCCTTCAGCTCACATGCAGGTCCCAGGATTTGTGTGTCACTGAGTGTGTGTGTCCACACAAGTGTACACGCAAATACAGGTATATTAAATACAAAAATACACATGACATAAATATATAGTCCCACATATAAACACATGTGGCTTTAACTACACAAAACACACATAGCATTAAATGCACATGACATATGTACCTGGATGTTTACTCTATGGATCTCATCAACCAACCAGACTCAGACCATGGAGGAGATGAGGGAGTGAGTGAGCTTGCACCCTCCCTGGAGCTGGCACCTGTGGTGTATGTGTGTCCTAGCCCATGGCTCCCAGCAGCCACAATGGAGAGATAGGGCAGCATGTAGGCCCATACCTGGGCTCCATCCCCCAGAAGCAAGGGCTGGACAAGTTGGCCCAACCACTGCTCGATGAAGCCGCCCTGTCTGCATACCTGCCCAGCATGACATGGCTGCTAGAGTCACCGGGGCTAGAGCACAGATCTGTGTGCTGCCATCGCACACCCATGGGCTGGATAAAAATCAATTGTCAGGCCAGATCCAGTAGATGGACCATACTGTGTCCACCCCAATCTAATCCATGCACCCATCCATCCCCAGACTGACCTTTTCCAACCCTCCCTCCTTCCCTCCCTGCCCCCCAGCCCCTTCCCACAGCCCCCACTCTCATCTTTCCTTCCATCCATACCATTGCCCCAACACCCCAATGTTTCCTGGCCCCCCAGCCAGCTGACCAGGGGCTGTCCACACACCAGTCTCTACCCCTCTTACTATGGGCCTGCCGGAGTTGCTGCTCCAGGTCCTTCCTGGGAATGCAGGCCATGATGTCGGCAGTCACAAGTAAGACACGGTGCCTCAAGAAGTGGCCAAGCAGCACCTGGACAATCCTCAGCGCACTGGCGTTCTCCACCTCACTCCACGCCACCGGCCTGCTGCTGCCCTTGGGCCTGTACTGGTTCAGTTCGTGCCTGAACTTTTCCAGCTCCTCATTTCTCAGCTCGCTCAGGGCTGACTCCAGCTCTCTGTACATCACATCCATGGCGGGGGGGAAACAGGGGGGGTGAAAAGCTGGGGGGCACAGGTCCCCACACAACTTCCTGTCCACACCAGGGCCCAAGGATGGCACAGGCAGCATGGCTGGGGCAGGGCATTTTGCCTTGGGGAGGGGGGATGCTTGCACAACAGCTTCCTGACCCCAGGCTGGGCTGCAGTGCCATCCTGTGCTGAGCTGCAAGAGGAACCCCCACCCCTGGGACCACAGATCTTCAAGCACAGATAAGACAAACACACCTGAGAACCCAGGTGCCCAGGTTCCCAGCCCCTGTTGCTTTCATCCCCCAGCCCTGCCCCTCTTCAGAGAATCCAGGTGTCCAGGCTACTAGCCCCAACTGTTCTAACCCCCCCAGCCCCTCCCTATTCCCTCCAGGGATCCCAAGTGTCTGGGCTCCCAGCCCCCACTGCTCTCATGCCCCAACTCCCACTCCCCTCCCTGAGAGCCCAGGCATCTGGACTTCCAGCCCCTGCTGCTCACCCCATCCCTACAGAGAGCCCAGGTGTCCAGGCTCCCAGCCTCCACTCCCCTCCCAGGGCTAATGGGTCCCTGAGGCCTGATCTCTGACCCAGGGAGCATCACCATGCAATCCCCTCCCTCTCTTGCTAGAACACATGGCAGCACGTAGAGCTGGGGGGAAGGGTCAGGGGTCAGGGCTAAGGGGAAGGGGCGGGACTAGACCCCTCCATCCCAGCTCCTCAGGACCCCCACCCCTCTGCGCATGACTGCACAGGCCTCTGATCTCAGGTGAGTGGCAGGACTGGTTCAGCAAGGACCCTGATGAGGATTGGTTGAGAAGGGACATTGGTCCTAGCAGATCCTGCCTGCAACTGGCTAGCCAGGAGCAGCCTGAGGAGGTTGTAATTGGCTGAGCCCTGCATCAGTCCCTGAGCCAACCATTGGTGGATTGGTCTGGTTGCTGGGCTGAGTGTCATCATGGAAGCCCAACCCTTTCACTTGGATCCTTACTGTGTACATCCAACCTTAGACACCTTCATGTCCTCATGAACAGGAATGAGCAAAAGTGTCAGCCTGTGTGACTCCCTCATGAATATTAATTAGGCACATAGTGGCACACCTTGTGAATATTCATTAGGTCTGGGAATCTTTTCCTTGTGTCTCCCCCTCCCTTTCCCCAGCTGTAGACTTAATGGTCCATTCCACATGCCCCCCTGCAATAGAAGGAATGGTTCTTCCTGTTTCCTCTCCAAAGCTCTCACCTTGCCTCCTTGCATCCTGGGATGCACATGAGCCCTTGGGCCTCCTGGCTTGAGGCAGCTTGCACAGCACTCCCAACATCACGCACAGGGACGTGCCGGGTCTCTGCCCAGACAGAGCTTGCAACAACAGTGTGTGTGTGTGTGCACATGTGTACATATTTACACCCAGACATAGATACATATATACACGCATGCATACACACACATATATATGCATACGTACACACACACATGCATAATCACATGTTTATGTGTGATATCTATCTATCAATCTATCTAGATAGATAGATATAATGACTTAGATGTTTATACACACACACACACATACACACACACACTCACACACTGATACCTATCTGATTGCTGATATGCAGCTGGGCAGCTTGGAGAGCAGCATTTGTCTGGTAAGTTTGTTGTGGGGGAAGGGGTCAGGTGGACAGATCAAAGCCCCCATGGTGTGGGAAGGAGTGGGGCTGGGGCTGGGGCAGGGGCTGCACAGCCAGGGCAGAGCACAGGACAGAGCCATTAGTGGCTTGCTGTGGGGATGTGGGGAGGGGGGCTTCTGCCACTATGCACCCCCCAGGAAGGCATGTGGGGAGTGTATGCCCTGGATCTGTGCATGGGGCTAGAGCAGGCTGTTGTGGCTGAGGCAGCACCGGACTCTTCCTGGTGGTGGGCTGGGCCAGGTTGCACTTGGGGCGGGCAGCAGCAGCACTCAGGGAGGGCTTACAGGGAGGGTGGGGCTACAGCCACCCCAAAATTCGCCCCCCACTGGGAAGAGCTCAGCACTGCCCCAACCCCAGCCCACAGTGACAGCCTGTCCTTGCCCCACACGCAGATCTGGGCATGCACCTGTATATATCTGTGTATACTCACTGTGACAGGGCAGTAACCCTACCCTGTCATGCAGTACCAAAAGAACAAAGTGGGAAAAGAAGCTTACTGCGGCGGCAAGCCCAGAAGGTGAAAAAGCTGTGCCAGAATCCCTGGATGCTAATTAATATGATCTTCTGGGAGAGCAGGCAAAGCAGCGAATCGGACACTGCAGCCAGGCACACAGCTGATCGGCATGGGAATATACAAGAATGCTGACCAAGTAGTCAGCTTTCCTCCGGTAAGGGGAGCAGCACTACAGGAAACTTGGGGAAGCATGGAGCTGTGGCGGCAGCATAAGGCCAACCAGAGAGCCTCCAAGGAATATTACACTGAAGGACTTACCTGAAGAGTGGGAACGAAGAAGGAGCCGCCGCTTCCGAGCTGGTGAGTCTGATCTCAGTGAGTGTGGGGTTTCATCCAAGAGAGCTAGGAGAGGGAGAAAGAAAGACTGATCTAGAATCTGAGTTTGGAGCATTGGACAAAGACAACCCCTCCCTAAAGAGTAAGTGTAGGGGGAAATTGTATGACTGTATATTTGTGAGCTGTGGGGTGAAGAACGGGACAAGAGGCCGATGGCAAGGAGCCCTGAGACCAATGCTGAAACATCATGTGTGGCAAGGACAGGGAATGGGGATGATGGAGCTCTTTGTAGAGGAGCCAGGCTTCTAAATTGCAGAAATTAAGATGAACTTTGTCTCCCAGGACTGTATCCATTTGTTTCTTAACATCTAAATTGTGGTGGAAGAATTGTAAGGAGACTATCTGGTCCAGAAGGAGAGACAATTTTACTATGGCTAGCACAGCTAGGTCTTCCACACACACACATGTGATATATATATATATGCAGAAATTTACACACAGACACACACCTCTGCCCCTCTGCACACACTGGGGCACCCCTGATCTTGGTCTGAAGGGTCCGTACAGTGCAGGGCTCAGGGGCTGTGATGGCCAGCAGCCCCCTCCTTCATTTCTGGCCCCTCCTTGGCCACCTGAGTAAGACCCACAGGCCCATGTCTGCACCCTGCAGCCAGCTCAGTGCTGGCACCTGCAGGAAAGCAAGACCCCTCCCACCTGGCCTAATCCCATTCATGTCGTCTGAGATTTCCCCCAATAGCTGCCCAAACCCCACCCACTTTGCCTAGCCCTGCCTACACAGGCCCAGGCCCCACCCACATCTGCTAAATCCTACCCAGCCCCGCAACTCCTCCCACAGATGCCCAGACCCCACCCACTCAACCTAACTCCACCCATGGCAATTTAGCCATGCCCACCCTACCCAAGGGCCCTCCCCAGCTGCCTTGGCCCCACCCACCATCAGAGGAATGGGGGGAAGGCAGATCCTGCCTCTGCTCCAAGACCTCAACCAACTGCTTCTTGAGGTCCCGCAGTTCCTTCTTGCTGTCCTGCAGCCTCTTCTCATTTTCCTGCAGCCTCTTCTCGCTTTCCTGCAACCTCTTCTTGATGTCCCACAGACAGTCCCCCACCACGGTCCCCATGTCCAGCACATCGCTGTCCGAGGACACCGCCTCACCCTGCAGCACCACACACTTCTGAATAAAGTGGGGTAAGTTGGGCCCTGGATCAGGGCCCCATGCCCTAGATCAGGGCCCTGTGCCCCAACCCCTGGTGAAAGCTAATATGCAGCCAGCTCAGGTGGAGCAGGTGGGAAACAGCCTGTGGGGGAAGAAGGGAAGGGACTGGGTCCCACCTCCAGCAAGATGTAGTGGTGCTTCTCCTGCAGTGGCATGGGCAGGTCCTGCAGGTGGCAGTTCTCCTGCATCAGGTCCCAGTTTGAGCTTGGCCCCTCTTCCAGCAGCTCTGACTCCTCTGGGAAGAGGGGAAGGGGCCAGTCTGAGAACCCAGAGGTCCAGGCTCCCATTTTCCCCTAGTTTTGGCCCCCAGACCACACCCCTCCCAAAGAACTCAGGGGTCTGCACACCCAGCCCCTGCCATTCCACAGAACCCAGTCATCTAGGCTTTCAGTTTCCCCTAGTCTCATCCGCCAGACTCCCTCCGTACCAAAGAACCCAGGGGCCTGGACACCTGGCCCCTCCCAGCCCCCCACCCAGCCCCCTGACTCCTTCCACAGCTGCCCTGGCCCTGCCCAGCCCAACCCCACCCGCAGATGCCCAGGCTCCACCCACTCCACCTGACTTCACCCATGGCCATGGGCCTACCCCCCTCAGCCCCACCCACATCTCCACAGGCCCTGCTTACCTCACCTAAGCCATGCCCTTCATGTTTCATCCACATGCCACGCTATGCCATGCTTCAGCCCTGCCCACCCTGACAAGGCCATGGCTCCAGCACACCCCACCCTATTTACTTAGGTTCCACCCACATTGTCCCAGGCCCCACCCCCAGACTGCTCACCTCTGTAGTCAAGCCCCTTGGGCTCCCAGGTGGGTTTCAGTGCAGCCCCTGGGGGCTCCTCAGGCTCCACTGGGCCGGGGAGAAGTCCCATCCTCATCTCGGCACCCTTGGTATAGCTGGAGGGGTATGTGGGGGTCAGGGGACCCCAGCATCTGGGCCCCCACCCCGCCCTGCTCTCAGCCTCCCAGACACCACGACCTGGAGAACCCAGGTGTCTGGGTCCCAGCAGATCCCTCCTGCTCTCCCCTGGAAGAACCCAGGTGTTTGGGCACCCTCTTCCACTGCTCTCAGCCCCCAACCCCATCTCCTCCCAGAGATCCCAGGCATCCAGATCCTCAGGTAACTCTCCCCACTCCCTGGAGCAGGGGAGAAGCAGGGGACCTGCCCTCAGCCCAGCCTGCCATGGCCAACTTCCTCCCGTCCAGGCATCCAGGCTCCCACTCCCCTTGCTCTCACCCTCCAGCCCCCCTCTGCCCCATAGAGAACCCAGGCATTTGGGTCCCTGATCCAGCCCAAAAGGCCTGATGGGGAATCGAGAGTTCTTGGACTATGTTGTTTTCCCCAGCCCATATTTCCCCCTTGGCCAGCAAGCTACCCTCAGACCCCTGCTGCTACTGCTGCCTTGCAGTCCCTGCTGGTGCTCTTCACTCCTGACCCAGAGGCCCTGCCACCCACAGTTACACCCACTACCCCCACCCCACGCACAGGGAAGAGGCTACGCAGGATGATGAACTCAGTTCCAGGCATTGCTGTCTGCCCCCAGCCTCCGCCCCGGCCCCGGCCCCCGGCATGGCACAGCTCAGGCAGCTGGAAAAAAAAAAGAAAAGGGTAGGGATGGTTATATGCCCAGGATGCCTGCCATCCTATGGAGAAAACTGTGATGCATGGCCCTGGTGCCCAATCCCTGCTTGCAGTGCCTCTCAGATGATTGCTTCCTGCTTCTGACTCCGAGGCAGATGCATCAGGCTGCAGTTGGTTCCTTATTCCTGGGTCCCTGTTCTTTTTTCTAAGATAATCTAGACCCACTAAAAGCTTGTTATGAATGAATGACACATCCTAAACAAAGAGAATTTCATTAGCAATGCATATAAACTAATTAATATGTAAAATAATATCCCACATCAAGTACAGAGCCCTAAATGAAGACTAGATTAGGATGGGATTATGGGGCAAAATACTTCTTGAGTCACCTCAGACTTCCTCTTGATACCACTGAGGGACTGTCCCAAAGACCCCTGACCACAGTCCTGCCCAGCCCAAAGTGCAGTTTGGCTGTGCCAGGCTGCCAACTGACAATCCCATGCCCACTGTATGTAGCATAATGGCTCAAACAAGGAACTGGCTTTTGGGCTGGGATTATGGCTGGAAATTATGCTTGGTCCACCCCACAGCAAACCTCTGTGGCACTGGGAGACTCTCTTGGATATGTCTGGCCAGAGTTTTGCCTTGTCCAGAGGACGGTTTGTTCATGCCATGTTGCTAACTGACAGCCCCCCAGTATATCTTGAATAAGGAACTGTCTTTTGGGGCTGGGATTATAGCTAGAAATCCTTCTTGGGTCACCCCATGCTATACCTCTGTGGCACCGGAGAACTCTCCTGGACATCTCTTGTCAGGATCTTGCCCAGTCCAAAGTGCAGTTTGTGCATGCCAGGCTGCCAACTGACAGCACCCCAGCCACTGTGACAAGTCTATGGGCTCAAATAAGAAACTTCTTTTGCCTGGATTTATGGTTGGAAATCTTTTCTTGGGCCACGTCATGCCATGCCTCTTTACCACCAGGGGACTATCCTGGACATTTCTGACCACAGTCCTGCCCATCCTAAAATGCATTTTGGCCATGCCAGGCTGCCAACTGACAGCACCCCAGACACTGTGCTAAGTATATGGGCTCAAATAAGAAACTGGTTTTTGGGCTGAGATGACAACAGGAAATACTCTTTGGGCCACCGCATGCCATGACTCTGTGCCAGCAGGTGCTTTCCCAGATTTCATAGATTTCATAGATTTCATAGACATTAGGGCTGGAAGGGACCTCGGAAGATCATCGAGTCCAGCCCCCTGCCCAAAGGAAGGGCAGGAAGTCAGCTGGGGTCATAGTATCCCAGCAAGATAAGCATCCAGTTTCATCTTGAAGGTGTTCAATGAAGGCGTTTGAACCACCTCCGGTGGTCAGATACCCCTGACCAAAGCCTTGCCCAGTCCAAAGTGCCAGGCTGCCAACTGGCAGCCTCTCATGCCCACTGTACCAAGTATATGGACCCAAATAAGGACCTGGGTTTGGACTTGGGTTATGGCTGGAAATCCTGTTTGGGGCACCCCACACCATGCCTCTGTGGCACCCAGGAAATCTCCCAGATATCTCTGGCCAGGTTTTTGCCCAGTCCAAAGTGTGGCTTGTGCATGCCAGGCTGCCAGCTGACAGTCCCCCCATGCCCACTGTATTAAATATATGGGCTCAAGTAAAGAATTTAATTTGGGCTGGGATTAGAGATAGAAATCCTTCTTAGGCCACCCCACACCATGCCTCTGTGGCCCCAGTGGACTCGCCTGGACACCACTGACCAGAGTCTTGCCTGGAACAGAACACAGTTTTTTTATGCTAGGCTGCCAACTGATGGCCTCCCCATGCCCACTATACAGAGTATATAGAATTGAATAAGGAACTAGCATTTGGGCTGAGAATAAAGACTGAAATCCTTTCTGGACCACCTGACACCATGCCTCTGTGGCAACAGTGGACTCTCCTGGACACCTCTGACCAGAGTCTTGCCTAGCCCAGAGTGCGGTTTCTTCATGCTAGGCTGCTAACTGGCAGCCCCCCATGCCCACTGCGCGAAGTATACTGGCTGAAATAAGGAATTTCTTTTAGACTGCAGCTGGTCGAGTCCCTGGATGGCAGCTGTGGGTGAGACTGCCTTCCCCAGACACTTGGCTTGGAGGGAGCTCCCCAGGTTGGTTTGCCACTGACTGTGACTGTGATCCATTTTGAGCTACAGTTAAAGGTCAATAGTTAAGCCTTTGCTTAGGGAGTACCACTGTTCCCTTTTTCCCTTGTCATAAACTCGTTTTAATTTAACTTTTGCTAGTGAGTGAGCAGGTTGCTTTAAATGACAACACCCAGTCTTAAGTTTCTTTACCAAGTGTCTGTGTGGTGGCTGGAGGTAGATGTGAAACACTGTTGAACAATCTCTAAGGGCTGCTATACACATGCTCTGGGGTGGGGAGAAGGGTGCTTTAAATAGAACGGCTCTGCGAGCCACTGTAATTAAAGTGCCCACAGTGTCACATGTATTCAGCATCCCACACTTCAAAATGGTGGTGGGGGTGCTTTAACAAAGCTTGTCCAAAGAGCTTTAGTTAAAGCGCTGCCATTTTGAAACACAGGGACAGTGAATATACATGATGCAGAGGCTGCTGGAGTGTGCTAATTAGCATGCTTCAACAGACTGGCAGCAGACTCGAGTCTGCTCTGACACGTGCTAAATACCAGGCATCAGAGCAGAGGTCTGTCACACGTACTGGTGCCCTATATTTGCATGCAGCCATTTGTCCTGCCATCCAGTGCCTGGTGGAACAGCAACATAAAGGTTTTAAAGGTTGCTTGTCATCTGGCAGGTTTACACTCAAAAAGCTAGCATTGTGTTGAACAGAGACATACCCAGATTTGTTCAGGATGCTCCTTGGTAGTGTTTTGAGATGCTTCTGTAGCAGGCTTGCCTTTCAGAGCTTGGGTTGAGGCCCAGGCTTGAATCTTCCTGTTTTGATTGGTGGAGCTCATCCACCAGTCAGGAGACAGCAAGAGGAGTTAAGTCATGCCCCTTTCCTGAGGGGAGGGGGACAGAA